AAACAAAAAACTAATGCAGACACCACATCTAAGGACTGGTCACTGCAATATATTACTTGTTTGGGTTTAGATATACTTTAAAGCAGTATTAAACCTAAAAGCAAATATTTATTACATTGCAGCTTACCAATCCTTAGATGTTGACAGCTGCATTCATTTTCTTTTTTAGGCTTTCTTTCTTCTATTTTTATCTGGTGATCCAGCCAGCAAGTCTGTTGTAATTCAGAAGCTCAAGCACTCCAGGAGACTCTATTAGTTTACAAGAATGGCACAATCCACTTAACACTGGCAGGGTTGATTAAAATGATCAGCTTTTATTTATTCATGTAAAACCTTCAGGCTCCAAGCACACTAGCGTTTTTTTTAAAGCTAAAAAAAACTGGATAATAAAATGCTGGCAATAGTGTTTCTTAGTAGCGTTTTAGTAACGTTCAAAAGCGTTTAGGAGCGTTAGTGTTTTACAAGCATTTTACAGTACATGTAGAGGAAGAAAATTTAAAAATTTAGCTTCTAGGAGCAGAAAAAAAATGCTAAAAAGAGCTTCTAGGAGCTTAAAAAACGCCAGTGTGCATGGAGCCTCAGCTCAAAAAACGCTAGAAAAAAAATGCTGGATAGAAATTTCTAATAATAGCATTTTTGTGCCACCTTGTAGTAGTGTTGTCGTAGCATTTAGAAGCTTTTAGGAGCATTAGCGTTTTATTAGGTACAGTTGTGTTCAAAATAATAGCAGTCAGACATCACTAACCGGATCAATCACTGTTTTTGGTAGAAATGATATTTCTACATGGCAAATAATTTCCTAGCAGGTGTAGTAGAGTAATAGAAATCCAACAGACCCAACAGTCATGACATGCATGCTGCTGATTCTGTGTCATTGAATCACTCATTGAAAGGGGCATGTTCAAAATAATAGCAGTGTGGAGTTCTATTAGTGAGGTCATTCATTCTTTGAAAAACAGGTGGCAATTATTGCCCTTATTTAAGGAAGGAAGGCAGCAAATGTTGTACATGCTGGTTACAGTGCATTTTTCTCTCTGAAATTCTGAGGAAAATGGGTCGTTCCAGACATTGTTCAGAAGAACAACGCACCTTGATTAAAAAGTTGATTGGAGAGGGGAAAACATATAAAGAAGTGCAGAAAATGATCGGCTGCTCAGCTAAAATGATCGCAAATGCTTTAAAATGGCAACCAAAACCTGAAAGACGTGGAAGGAAGCGAAAAACTACCATTGGAATGGATAGAAGAATAGCCAAAATGGGGCGGACTCAGCCAACAATCAGCTCCAGGAAGATGAAAGAAGGTGTGACGTTCCCTGTGAGGACTGTTACAATTAGAAGACGCCTATGTGAAGCCAAGCTATCTGCAAGAAGCCCCCGCAAAGTCCCACTGTTGGAAAAAAAGACGTGTGCTGAAGAGGTTACAATCTGCCAAAGAGCACATTGACTGGCCTAAAGAGAAATGGCGCAACCTTTTGTGGACTGATGAAAGGAAGATTGTTCTTTTTGGGTCTAGTGGGCGGAGACAGTTTGTCAGACGACCCCAAACACTGAATTCAAGCCACAGTACACTGTGAAGACAGTGAAGCATGGTGGTGCAAGCATCATGATATGGGGATGTTCCTCATACTACGGTGTTGGGCCTATTTATCGCATACCAGGGATCATGGATCAGTTTGAATACATCAGAATACTTGAAGAGGTCATGCTGCCTTATGCTGAAGAGGAAATGCCCTTGAAAATGGGTGTTCCAACAAGACAACGACCCCAAACACACCAGTAAACGTGCAACATCTTGGTTCCAGACCAACAAGATGGACGTTATGGAGTGGCCAGCCCAATCCCCGGATCTTAATCCAATAGAAAACTTGTGGGGTGACATCAAAAATGCCGTTTCTGAGGCCAAACCAAGAAATAGAGAAGAACTGTGGAATGTTGTCCAATCATCCTGGGCTGGAATACCTGATCACAGGGGCCAGAAGTTGGATGACTCCATGCAACACAGATGTACAGCAGTTCTCAGAAACAGTGCGACTACAACCAAATATTCATGAAGTCATTCAAAGGAAAGCAAAATCTTCAAACATTTCTCAGTTTATATAGTGAATGTTTGAGTTTGTAAAGAAGAATACAAACACTGCGATTTTTTTTGAACCGTCTAATATTCACTTTTCTTTAATTTTTTTAGAAGAACACCACAAATTTGATCTATTTTTCTTCATGTTTTGATTTGGAATAGAATGTGTCGTGTTCCCAATGCATTTGTGTGGATGGAAATAAAAGCTATTAGAAGGATTTTCAGCTTTATTCACTTTTTTTCAACACACTGCTATTATTTTGAACACCACTGTACATGAACCAAAAAAAAAAACAAAACTTGCAAAAAAGCTGTTAGGAGCGTTCAGCATTTTTTTTTTTCGGTCAAGAAAATGCTCCTAAAAACTCTACATAAAACACATTTTTTTCCTGTCCCTAAATGCTGAAGCTTAAAAAACCGCTTCTAGCATAAATGAATGTGCATGGACGCATAGGTTAACACGATTTGCTTCTAGGAGCTTAAAAAAATGCATGGAGCCTCATCCCAAAAAAAAAAAAAAAATGTTTACTGTAACTGCTTATAAAGCATGAGCTGGCGTTTGGCTTCAATTTGTTAGTGTATTTAAACCTGCTAGTCCATCAAACACTCCCCTCCTCCCCAGACTGACAATGCAGCTGTCCAAAAGTATTCCCTGTGCTCCTTCATCCAGAGTGGGGGCCGCTCTAATACAGGAGGTGTGTTACTGGCTAGATCACGAGGTGAAAACAGAGGGGAAAGGACTAAGAAAAGAAAACTAATGCAGCCGCCGCATCTAATGATTGGTAAGCTGCAATATATTACATTTTTGGTTTCGGGTTTATTACCGCTTTGGTGATGAATCCAGTAAGAGAATAGATAAATATAAACACAGAGAAGCCTGGACATGAAGTATCAGATCATTTCGTAGAACCTGTAGAAACGAATCTTGGGGATTTAAACGGTTTGCATAAAGAAAGCGGTGGAAGACTTTCCACTTGTCAAAAATAAGGATGAAGAGGACCATTTGAGAAGATCACTGGAATTACCTGTCCTGTGAAGGGAGAATAGCAAACAAGGGAAGTATTTTTGATGTGTCCATGGCCAAGACACGGGGGGGGGGGGGGGGGGGGGGGTGGGGGGGGGGGGGGGGGGGGGGGGGGGGGGGGGAGGGGCACTTGCCTTGGTGCAGTATTGTGGAAAGGGGGGACCCTGCCATTCAGGCAACTGTTGAATGGAGCACCATTGTAGTCAAGATAGCTATGGACAGGGGCGGACTGACAACTCATGGGGCCCCCGGGCACTAGGGGATCATGGGGCCCCTGTGTCCTTGCCCAAACTCAAAAAAGCCTATGAAAAAAGGTACCAGGGGCATCTCATGGGGCCCCCTACTGACCCTGGGCCCTCGGGCAGTGCCCGAGTTTCCAAATGGTCAGTCCGCCCCTGGCTGTGGAAGGGAGGATTCTGCTTTCTCCTCCCTCCTGCAGCAGTTTGGCATCTTCGCCCTGAGCACTGGATGGCCTTGTCCCAGCTCTGGATCCTCTGGACCTCCATGCACACAGCTAAATACACCGTTGAATACTGTGAATGGTCACTGCCAAGCTGGCCCGAACACTAGTAGATGACACAGCGTAACACATTTGATGTCTGAAAGTACTTCAAAATTTAATTTAAATTGTGGAATGAATGGACTTTCCCAAACAAAAACCGCATTAATTCCAGCAAAATGCCCATCTTCTTGTCATTGGGTTCGAAAACAAAGATTTGTATTGGTGTATGGCCAGCTTTACTGTGTCCAGCCACTTTTGCGATTCATATACCTCCCCACATGCAGCCTGCTGATTGGATGATGAACACCACACACACAAGTCATCAATATTTATATAGGCATGAAGAACAAAAACCTCCCAAATGCTGCACATCCTGTAAAGCCCTACAGCGTCTATAGAAGAAGCAGCCTCAGGTTGGGCTCCATCCAAGCAATGCTACCAACGCATTTCACCCGGCCCACAGGGCGTAATTATGGAATAAAGTATACCAAAGGCAAAACTTTTTTCTTAGTTTTGGTACGAGTGGAGAGGAATTAGAACCCCTGTTGGTTTTTATTGCTGTCTGTGCCCCCATTAGGGAGATTCACCCTTTTTGTCCTGTTTACCATTCTCATTGAAAGTGATAGTATTATTTTTTTTATTATTATTATACAGGATTTATATTTCGCCAACAGTTTGCTCAGCGCTTTACAATATAACGGGAGACAATACAGCAACAATACAGTTCAATACAAGAGGGTTAGGAGGGCCCTGCTCCTTGGAGCTAACAATCTAAGAGGGAGGGGCTAGTGGTACAAAAAGGTAGTAACTGTGCGGGATGGACTGGTAGGAAGAGTAGAAGATTCCAGTATTAGCTGAAGGCAGGATAGGCTTCCCTGAAGAGATAGGTTTTCAGAGATCGCCTAAAAGTGAGCAGAGTAGGCGATAGTCAGATAAATTGGGGTAGAGAGTTCCAGAGGATGGGGGAAGCTCTGGAAAAGTCCTGGAGACGAGCATGGGAGGAGGAGACAAGGGAGCTAGAGAGCAGGAGGTCTTGCGAGGAGCGGAGATTATGGTTTGGGTGATATTTGGAGACAAGATTGGTGATGTAATTTGGGGCGGAGTTATAAATGACTTTATATGTTATTGTTAATGTTTTGAATTTTATCCGTTGGGCAATGGGAGGCCAGTGGAGGGATTGGCAGAGAGGGATGGAGGACACTGAGTGGAGGTCAGTGGAGGGATTGGCAGAGAGGGGTGGAGGACACTGAGTGGAGGTCAGTGGAGGGTTTGGCAGAGAGGGGTGGAGGACACTGAATGGAGGCCAATGGAGGGATTGACAGAGAGGGGTGGAGGACACTGAGTGGAGGCCAGTGGAGGGTTTGGCAGAGAGGGGTGGAAGACACTGAGTGGAGGGATTGGCAGAGAGGGGTGGAGGACACTGAGTGGAGGCCAGTGGAGGGATTGGCAGAGAGGGGTGGAAGACACTCAGTGGAGGCCAGTGGAGGGATTGACAGAGAGGGGTGGAGGACACTGAGTGGAGGCCAGTGGAGGGTTTGGCAGAGAGGGGTGGAAGACACTGAGTGGAGGGATTGACAGAGAGGGGTGGAGGACACTGAGTGGAGGCCAGTGGAGGGATTGGCAGAGAGGGGTGGAAGACACTCAGTGGAGGCCAATGGAGGGATTGGCAGAGAGGGGTGGCAGATACAGAACGGTTAGTAAGGTGGATGAGTCTGGCAGCAGCATTCATGATAGACTGAAGAGGGGATAGCCTGCAATTCGGTAGGCCAATGAGGAGGGAGTAAAAGAAACCCCTAATTTTAAATTGTCCCTAGAAACGAAATAGAGGGCAAATCTAGTTGTGGTGGACTGGGGGTCCCCAAGGAGTTCTCCTAATTTGCAGAGATTTTCTCGCTTCCGGTTTTGAAAATGGGACAGGAAGTGAAGGTAAAATTGCCCAGATGGCACAAAAGACTGGCAGGGATTATAACCCTCCCTTACTCTATCCAAAATGAAAAAAAAAAAAGTTTTGCCTATAGTTCTACTTTAAGCATGGGTGGGGTGAAACATGTTGGGGTATGGCCTAGATGGAGCCTAGATGGAGCTGGACCTGAAGCTGCTACTTCTGTACACACTCTTGTGTTTTGAGGGATGTGCAGCTTTTTGAAGGTTTTTGTTTTTCATGCTTGCGTTCATTGAGCGATATGAGCTCTCCTTCAGCCTGCAATCTCAGCATGAGCCACCAGATCTGGACACAATAGGAGCCTGGAGCGGCATCACCACTTTTTGGTGTTGGTTCACAATCAATATTTATATATTAGAGATGGCCACTGTTGCTATAGCTGGCAATGGTAATGTCCGCTTGTCCACAGGCCCCTTACTGCCTACAAAAATTCATGGTGTTGGTGGCCCATTTATCCTAAAGAAGTATTACATTTTTAAGAGGTTCCTCAATAAACCTCAGAATAAAAAAATAAAAAACAACATTCTTGCATATATTTTTTTCTCTTTTTCTAAGTGTTAACTGTTTGGAGGGGTCTAAGGCAACATTCTAAAGGTCCTCCAGAAGGGCACTCTTGGACACCACCGGTATAGATATTCCATATCAAGCAAGTAGGCCCATACTTTTCTGCATCAATGGAATGGGGTGCTGAGTGGTACCCATGTGATGGATTACAGAAAACACAACACCCTCCCCCCCCCCCTTCTGGAACATTGAAAAGGGCAATGGCAACCTCAAGCTGAAAGGCAACGAGATTAAGGTTGGAGACTCCCCATGTGCCTCACATTCACATTGTAGCTGGAATGTCGTTTTCCAGAACAGAATTAAAAACAATACATTAATATTTGACAGTAACTATGACATCTTATATTTGAGATGCTGATTGTTTCAGACAGTACAAATGGTGTAAGATTTTTTTTTTTTTTTGAATAGCCTATTGTGGTACAAAAAGAAATATATATAATAATAAAGATGTTGCCTGTAAACAAGGACAGGCCGTCACGCACAATTGTGCAAATGTGCAACACTCACAAAGCACCTTGAATGTTGTCATTGGGCAGTCGTCCATGTCCGGCAGTACCATACTGCATAATGACATGGTCACTGCAAAGCACGGCAAGTGATCTCACTTTGCCAGGAGCACCCATGTGAATCATCATGTCGTTTTGTGCCTGAGTCTCACCTTTCGCACAAGCCGTCACAGATTACGGTTTCCTCCAGTCTCCTTTGAGTTGCCTGAGAATGTATGCTCAATCCATATAAAGTCATTCTACGTGTGGACAAACAGCCACGAGGAAACCTTTTTTATAAGCAGAACAAGCACAGCATTATACGGGATATTTAACTCTTGTTCTTTGGTTCTGGTGCTAGCCATGTTGGGTCTCCTGACATGAAGAGCACCAAGTGTGTTCAAGTCTAGGGTGATGGTGGCGGCACTGCTCTTACGGCAATGCCCTGGTCAGTGCTATGGGGCTACTAGCTCTGTGGCTGCAGCTTGTTGGCGTAGAAGTCCCTGCAGGTCTGGCAGCATCGCTGGTACCACCTCATATCCTGGCAGAGGTTCTTCTCCCGGATAACTCGGCAGTACACTGTCCACTGGTCACCAGTGCACTTGTACGTCAGTGCAGCTGTAAGAAGAAAAACTTGGTTAGGGTTGCATGATAAAGACAACAAAACTTGAAAATGGTAAAATCTAAATATGAGATCAACAGATGGCCGTGTTCTTTATGATGGATTTTTATAAAAGTCAAATCATGGTGTGCTTCTTAAGGATGCATTGAAGTAGAGAACACTGATTAGGATTTATTAAAAACATGTCTCTGAAGACACCTTCATGGATTATGCTGGACTTCACTTAGGCTGCATTCACACCTGAGAGTTTTGTAGCTCGAAGCTTCAAAACGCTGGAGGAGAAAGAAAAAATCAATTATTGGTTCACATCTCCACTCCAAGTCATCTGCAACCAAATGGCTGAAAAACAAAAACAATTATTGTTTCTTTAATAGCTTGACTTGGGCAGATTGGTGTGTTTTTGAAGAGTTTTTTTCCCCCACAGAAATGCACTGAATGCATGTCCAGCAAGCGCCAGGACCGTCTCCTAAAGTTGATTCAGATTGGCATGGTTGTTGGTGCCAGATGGGCTGGTCTGAGTCTTTCAAAAACTGCTGATCTACTGGGATTTTCATGAACAACCATGTCTAGGGTTTACAGAGAATGATCCAAAAAAAAAGAAAAAATCTATAGTGAGTGGCAGTTCTGTGGATGAAAATGCTTTGTTGAGGTCAGAGGAGAATGGGTAGACTGGTTGCTGCGACATTCAGATGGTAGGGTCCGAATTTGGCGTAAACAACATGAAAGCATGGATCCATCCTGCCTTGTATCAATGGTTCAGGTTGGTGATGGTGGTGTAATGGTGCGGTGGATCCATCCTGCCTTGTATCAATGGTTCAGGCTGGTGGTGGGTGGTGTAAAGGTGTGGTGGATCCATCCTGCCTTGTATCAATGGTTCAGGTTGGTGATGGTGGTGTAATGGTGCGGTGGATCCATCCTGCCTTGTATCAATGGTTCAGGCTGGTGGTGGTGGTGTAATAGTGTGGTTGGATCCATCCTGCCTTGTATCAATGGTTCAGGCTGGTGGTGGTGGGTGTAATGTGTGGTGGGTCCATCCTGCCTTGTATCAATGGTTCAGGCTGGTAGTGGTGGTGTAATCGTGGTGTGGTGGATCCATCCTGCCTTGTTTCAATGGTTCAGGCTGGTGGGTGGTGTCATGGTGTGGTGGATCCATCCTGCCTTGTATCAATGGTTCAGGCTGGTGGTGGTGGTGTAATGGTGTGGTGGATCCATCCTGCCTTGTATCAATGGTTCAGGCTGGTGGTGGTGGTGTCATGGTGTGGTGGATCCATCCTGCCTTGTATCAATGGTTCAAGCTGGTGGTGGTGGTGTAATGGTGTGGTGGATCCATCCTGCCTTGTATCAATGGTTCAGGCTGGTAGTGGTGGTGTAATGTGTGGTGGATCCATCCTGCCTTGTTTCAATGGTTCAGGCTGGTGGTGGTGTCATGGTGTGGTGGATCCATCCTGCCTTGTATCAATGGTTCAGGCTGGTGGTGGTGGTGTAATGGTGTGGGTGGATCCATCCTGCCTTGTATCAATGGTTCAGGCTGGTGGTGGTGGTGTCATGGTGTGGTGGATCCATCCTGCCTTGTATCAATGGTTCAGGCTGGTGGTGGTGGTGTCATGGTGTGGGGGATCCATCCTGCCTTGTATCAATGGTTCAGGCTGGTGGTGTCATGGTGTGGGGGATCCATCCTGCCTTGTATCAATGGTTCAGGCTGGTGGTGGTGTAATGGTGTGGGGGATGTTTTCTTGGCACTAGCAAGGTGTGTCTAATAAAGTGGCCGGTGAGTGTAAATAGTATAGACAAATTAAAAAAAAACACAAAAAACATTTAAATCTGAACTCCACAGATGACATATTTTGCATACTTACATTGGGCCAGCTTGGCAAGTATGCATATGCAATGCGTGATCGGCCCTGTTGAAAGCTGTAAATCACTTTAGTAGCACAATCTCCTACAGTAATGGCCACAGTCATTTGTGTGCTAAGCATTTCCCCCTCTGCCCCACAGGGAGTCACTTGCTCGGCCACCATTCAGAGAACACCTTGCAGTTTTTCTCAACAATTGAAAAATGTTCTCAGAATGGACGAGGTGGAGATCCTGATGTCACCGCCCTGTGCATTTTTCTCCAACAAATGTAAAGAGTTTTCTGATTAGATGAGGTGAAGATCCATACGTCACTGCTCTTCCTCTCCACCTTGTCCAACCAGAGAAGGCTTTGAGAAAAATGCAAGAAGTTCTCTGAATGGCAGCAGTGCAGAGTGAATGACTCCTTGTGGTTACTATGCAGAAGGGCAGCACTTGGAAGACCGCAGCCATCACTATAGTAGCTCAGGCTTCTACAATGACTTGCAGCTTCCAGAGAGGCCAAAACAGGTCTCACATATGCATACCTACATTGTGCCAAGCTGGCCAAATCTATGTATGGAAACTATCAGCCCTGGAGATCAGCTTTGAAAAGTCATAATTATAAGCCATTAATTCCAAATTGCCTTGTAACATATTCATGCAATCAAGTTTAAATAAAGAAGTTCTAAAAACCTGATGTTACCAACCAAGTCTTGGAGATGTGATGGTGTTGGCATTCACTTTTTCATTGCAAGCTTCTTGATGACATTGCTTATAGGCCACTGGCTTGGACAGAAAGGAACATTCAATTCCGTGGCGACCGGTCACTTTGTGCATACACTGTACTACACGAGATTGCAGGCCTTTACCGCAGGTGGACGAGCACTGCAGGAACAAAATTAAAGTGTCAAAAAGGAAAAATTCAACCACTCGGTTTCTCAGTTTGAAATGCTGCAAGGAGAAAGCAGCAGGAGCTTTATTGCAAATAAAGTCAGCCTAAGATGAATTACAGAAGCTATCAATGTATTCCCTTAAAAAACCCAAGATCAAATGTAAGCAACACAGAAGATCGATCATTATTGTATTTTTTTTACAGTTTTGTCCCCTATGGGGCAGAGGACATTTAGTGCTCTGTCCCATGTTTCTATGTGCTTTCTAATCCTACTTATGAGGTCTCGCCTGTCCCCCTCCCCTCCTGCCCAGGCTGATCCGACAACAGCTATGAAGGAGACAGCCGATTCATAGATGCAGGTTATCTAGCTGTGAGCACTTTCCACAGACATGCAATAGCAAGAGGAATGCATGGGCAGATATGTTCCCCCCCCCCTCCTT